GGTGGGCATCTCAGGCAGCACAGAACATGTTGCCCTGAAGGAGCCCTGATACGAAGGTATGTGAATGAACAGCACGCAAGGGCACTCTATAAAAAGGTGAGCATGCTGCAGGGCTCTTTGTCGTTGGAATTGAAGTTATAGGCAGTCAGCTCCTCTTGAAATAGTCCAATAGAAGAAATGCATTCTTCCTCACACACAGAGCCTGGGGTATACCAGAGTGATTCAGCTGGAGGTTTGGAAAGACTTAGAGTAGGACTGATGCAGACAGCGTTAACCAGCGCAGACTTGAGTTGCGCCAGAACTGGTTGGCCCTAAGGTAGGAGAGGGTGCAGGCTTATTTTGGCAATGAAGAACAGGTAGGACATTTTCAATAAATACAACTTGTACAACAATTCAGAGGGGAGGCATGACCCTGGTCTGCAGAAACAATAAAGGCAACACCGTAAAATGCCAGCCCTGAAGGGCTGTGACAAGCCGACAGTGACTGCTGAGAGCCCCTCAGCTGGAAGGTTTCGATGCCCTGCTATTGCCTGGGGCAGTAGGAGCCTGTGACGGCATTGGCGCGTTGCATGTGGGGTGAGGTTAGCGCCAGGCGAGTGATGGTGCAGCACGTGATATGTACGCCATCGTTCAGCCCTCCCCCCTGGGTGCTTTGTGCCCCATACATTTGCGTGTAAGCTCACGGACAGTCTCCTTCCACCATCACCCTCACCCAGTCGGCACACACAGGCGTGCCCTGTACTGGTTCTTTGGCTGTTAGTTCCCAGCCCACTTCTGACCACATACCCAAAGCCAGGCCCCGGTCATCCACCCAAAGAGGGCAGCAAGGAGGTCTCTAAGCCAGTTAAGCTATCTCTTTGCGAGGTCTAGTTGACCCCAATTAGTTACTGTCATGGATTATGTTCATTTTAAACGAGAAATGTGTTCATAGGACTCACTCTCACTGCCTCACAAAAAAAAAAAGAGAGAAATGTGTTCATAGGTTACCAGGGTGACTCTGATTTTATGAAATTATTTTTGAAACTTGTAGTTACTGTATCTTTGTTGGATGAGTAGCATCTGGGGTCTTAACAGCTTGTGAGCAGCCATTTCAGAAAAATTCTGCCCTCAGAGGCAGCAGATGGGAAGAGACCCAGAGGT